GCGATGTCATTTGCAAACTGATCGGCTTTATAATTCCGAAAACTACGTGTGACGTTGGGGCTTGCTTGGGTGATCTTAAGTTAATAACAGCATGAACCAGAAAACGATCACTTATAGTTATTTCAAGAACACCGCTCGACTTGACAAGGACAGGGCCAGAGACCAGGATGACATCCAATAAGGAGCGTGAGTTCTCAGTCACGCGAGTTGGCTTGTCTATAAGCTGTGTCGCATTTAGAGTTGTACAAAACGACAGCAATGCTTCTCCCCTCGGATTGTTTGAAAGAAGGTCACAGTTTAAGTCGCCTGTTAGCACAATGTCCTTGTTGCGTGATAACGCTTCGATGTACTTTGGGAGCAGTTTATTCTCTAGGCATGCAGTTCCAATTTCCGGGGGGTCTGTAAACAATACAAACCAGCAATGAACGAAGCTTCTTATTTTGAACTTGAATCCACAACTGGTGTAGGCCGGATTCGGATATTTCCGTGAGATCCTTCAGGGCTTTTACCTTCAGAGTAGATTTTACGTAAGCACATACACCGGCACCTGCTTTTCCAAGGCGACCAAGTCTAAAGACCTTGTATCCCGGGATTTCGACAACACTGTTGGTCACGGAAGAGTTAAACCAGGTCTCCGAGATGGTTAAAATATCAAAATCACGTTCCAAGGCTAACTCCTTCGTTTCAGTAAAGTGTTGTCTACATTTGAGAAGCTCTGCGTTAAGATGGGCTATGTTTTGGTTTTTATGCACCGTTTTGGTTTTTATGCATCGTTGATTGTGCATTGTTTGTCAATTGTACTCTATTACATTTTGCGCTCACGTGTCCAACTGAGTCAGGGATGCGACGACTCTGTCGATTCCCATGAATAACAGCAATCCTACTGCTAGTGGTATCTGGACCTGGTAATGGATGGATGTCGCCACTTAGTGAAATACACAGTTTCATAAAGTTAAACCAGCACAAGAGTTAGGATAATATGAAATTCTTTGTTTAAAATATTTTCGCCGCGGATCAGTGAACCGGCACGTTGAGCGACCGCACCGCCAAAGAGAAACAAAAGGCTCAGGAGTGGTATTTTGAACCCCGGCTTACAAAGGATGGCCGTTCACAAGGTAGATTTCCACGGGCGAAGCTAATCCATAACTCATCTGAATTGCAAAAACCTCCATAAGCTTGTCTGGTAAGCGAAGAGTAGATCGAAATAACACTTCTTTCTTGAATATACTGCGCAAAGCCTCTCGAAAACTCCAGTCTACAACGTCCTACAATGTTCCCATAGGTGTTAAGCTCGTCTGTCTGCATAACGTAGAGCTTGAGATGAGAAAATAGATCAAAGGTGGAGAGCACAAAAGGCCGTGTCTAGCAGTCATTATGCATTACCTTTGGCCCTGAAGAAAGAGAAGACTCCGAAGAAGCCGTCGCCTAAAGTTCAAAAATGCTAAGTATAAACTCTGGCTGTCAGTGAAATTCCTCTTCTACGAAGGTAAAAGATTAAAACGCAGAAGAATGGTCTATTTTTCTCCTCTGAAAGCTGTTCTTTCCGGGTGTGTCATTGTTCGATCAGAAAATGCAAAAGATTATCAACGGGAGGTTGATGAAACATAGAATGCCGCTATTCGAACGCGCAAACCGAGTGCGTTTGTCCGGGTAGCGACTGT